CTACAGCCTTATATTTTGCCTGATCGAAGAAACTATATGGTGAGCTCTTTTCATAAAGCATAATCCCGCAAGAGGAAAGCAGCACCTCAGGTTTTTCAGCTGGGAGGCCACATACAATTCAAATCCGTGCCGCTGTCCCTTTGTGGGACTGGAACGACCTAAAGTGGAGACCATAATCCACATCTCACGTAGCCTCCGGACCCCTGTCTGTCAGCCTGATAATTAATGCGTAAACTAGAAAGACGTTTCACTGACTGCCTTCCAGTCCCGTGAGCATAAGGCGGTCAATAAATATTTATTGAATGTATTTTTCTAAGGCTTTTCAGCACTTGCTCAGTGATAACTTATAATCTAATAAGCAAGAATTGTTCAGGGTGGTGACAAACAAATATATAAATGTATGTTAACAAAATCCAAGCTAAGAATGGGCAGTAAGAAAGTAAAGAAGGCTTCCATCTGTGGAGGAAGTATCCAAACAGTACTAGCTTTGGGGTAAATAAGAAGGAATCATGTCACACAAGCCCCAGCAGTGAGGATTGCAAGAGAGAAAAGGAAAAATAAAGGAGGGAGATTTATGAATGGCTGTATTTTGAACAAATAAAAATATATACATTTTTAAAAGCCAATCTTTTTATTCTCTCTGGCTTTATGAGTAATGCTTTCATCTGTCACTGAAATGGCTTCTACACTCCAGGAATGGCAGAGTGTTAGCTGAAATGGGCTTCCAGATTGCAGTTTTTGCAGTAGAGATAAAATACAGATTTCTGCCGCCCATTTGGAGCTACAGTACCAATATACTGATGCAATCGCTTTTAAGCCCCAGTCACATTAGATTCTGAACAGCCTATTGCCAGCCTGGGCATGGGGATGGGTGTTAGGGTACGTTTATTTAAGACTGAGCATTTATCCTGAGTTAAAAGCAAATTAAGATATGCATTTGAGACAATATTAAAAAGGGCAATGTAATGACCACATTCTCCCTTGTGCATTCTCTTTAATTCCCTGAGAGGCCCAAGAATGCACAGCCGTTCTGAGAGAAGGAGCCTGCACTGTGCGGGAAAGGAAAGGCATCTCTGCATGTGTCCAACTTTAGAGGGGAATTATCTCGCCTCTGGGAAATAATCCAACAAGCAAGCCTACAATTTAAATGCAAATACTCAGAGATTCTGACCATGACCACCTAGGTCCAGCCTTTTGCTGAACTGGAAAGAACTTGAGATAGTGGTTGCACAAGTCCCCCTTGGATGGCTCTAGTTTTGAGGTTCCCCCACCTACCACAACCCATGACTAAAGAGGACATCAGTGCTCTATTGCTGTCACAGAGCAAGAAAGAGGCAGATCCAGAAGGAAAATCAAGACTTTTCAGGGTTCTTTTCAGGTGACCACCCCAGGGATAGGAAGTCATGAAGTCTATACTGGACCTCCCTTGGAAGTAGCTGTGGCTCCTTGGAGTAACCTAAAGAAGACAGACAATTCTTGATTCACAGCATTGTGAGAGGTTTTTTTGTCCCTCTGATGCTCTGTAGACAGCAATTGAGTCATAGCCTCTATGGCCACCAAGTCAACCAGGCAAACTTGCCCAGAGACTGGTAAATTACTACTCACCCCCACTACAATACATTTTCCAAATGTCTTCCTAATTTCAGTCTCTCTTGACTTCAAGACCACCTACCCACTTTCCAAAAGAGGCAGAAAGAAAGGATCCTGGGATTTCCTTCCTGAAGGTAATCATCACATGTGCTATATGTAAAAGCAGACCTGAGGCATTCTGATATCCAGACTCCATGCACTAGACATCTTCAGTGGAATTCTCTCAGAGGCCAGAGAAGGAAAGGCAAGGTCCCTAGCAAGGAAATATAGGAAAGGTATTCTAAAGTTTAGGATGCTAAAAGGAAGTTCAGGGAAGTTTTCTTAAAAACTGAGCTATCAAACTTTCCAGACAGAAAGTCAGATCTAATCATAACACAAAGAGGGAGGCTCTGAACACTTCCTGCCCCCCAAGCCAGATACTCAGGTGAGCTCACCCCAAACCCAGCTATGTATTCTTCTTTATTCCCTCTAATAGTCCACCTACCATTCCAAGGCTTGATTACCTCTGCAGCCTTGCTAAGGCTCTAGGTTATCAGATTACCCCTGGAGGTCAAATATCCTACTGTCATGTTGAGTCTGCTTATTCATGACTTTTCTCCCTAGAAAATTAGAAGCTCAGAGCTCAGAAGGAAATGCTGTGTTCTGCATGCTGCAGACGCCCGTTGTGAATCTGTGCGGTGCATACTGAATAAGATCTCCTTGTGATCGTGGCCCCAGTTCTAGCCTAGAGATCCTAGAAGTCTAAAGAGGGATGAGACAGAATTGGGCGGAATTAAGTAGAGGCAGCTGACAGCTGGGCTGCTTAAGTCTCCACTGACCATTCTGGCCCATGGAAGCCAGGAATACCTGCTTGTCAGAGAACCAAATGTGTGATTCTAAGAACTTGTCAGATAGTATTTAAACCCCAAAGGCAATATAATACATAATTCCAACTCTGAAAAAATGGATGCATATTTTAAGGGATGGATCCATAAACTTTGCAAGAAAAATACACAAAGGAATATGCCTTTTAAAATGGAGGGAAATGTTAAGCGTGTAAAAAAATGGAGACGTCAGAATTGATTTGATTATAACTGAAATGAAATGCTAATTACAGTATTTATTATTCCTAAAAGTTCCTCTACCCCACAGGCTGCACACAAATTCAAATGTGTGGACACATTCATTCAGAGAACACCATTAAATGTCAGATCCTTTGTGTGAGGAGACGGAGGAAGGGCTCCAGACCCTAAGTGGTTGTTCACTTTGCTTCCCACTGCCCCTTCTCTCAAGGTTTCATCTGCCTTTGTAACCAAACGCAGTCCAGCTGCCTGCTGCCTCCAAAGCCAAGTTCTTTCGAGAAGCAGGTGCCGATGTGAAGGAAATTGGTTTTATTTCAGGTGCCAGCAACCTGGAAGATGACTCTCATCTCAAAGTCCGTCTCCTGAGAAGATGGGGGAATCTTTTTTCAAAACCCATCTCCGCATCTCAGTGGAGGCAGAGGTTTTTACAAGGAGTGAGAGGGGAACAGAACAAAGATCAAGAGAGAGGGTTGAAAAATTCCCCCCATGCAGATGAGCACAGCCCATTCAGATAAGGCAAGTGATGGCCCAGTGTGCATCACCCTGGCTTAGTCATCCTGGCTTCACATTATCCCAGCCTCACATCATCCTGGCTCCAACAGCAAATCTCCCAGAGCTGGGATGCCTGAAGGTCAAAGTCTGTATCTTTGGGAGTTAGTTTATAAGATTCGTATACAAGCATGTTGTTTATCTACAAGCTACGTATTAAGTCAGTCATATAGACAGAAACAATGTCAAAAGAACGGTTTCCCAACGTTGCACCCTGACCACTCATAGGCTCGAGTGTGTCTGTATCAGACTCTGTCCTCAGGGAGCCTGCGTGGTTACTGCGCACTGACTTCGAGAGGGTCCAGGCGTTGATGAGGATTTCTTCAGGAACTGTTGTATTTTGCTGACTTGAGGCCACTGTTTTCTCACATATACACCTTCGCTTTTCTTCAAATTCTATGGGCTAATATAGGCTGCTAGCCTTTTAAATTGCCACACCAGGATTTTAAAAACTGCTGTTTCTATCACCATTATTCCTTAATCCAAAAAGGATAAAGATAGTTTTGGGATAAATTTACATGTCTTTTCTAATTTCAGTGTAAGCCACTGACCTATACTTGGACATCTTGTTCCTAGCATCAACATTTCTATGATGAAAACTTCTCTTCTGGAATATTACTTAATGGGTTCTGAAATAGAAAATCTGGCTTATTTTTTTCTTTCTTTCCTTTTTTTAATTTTGTGCAAGTACAGTTGTCTCCATTTTCCCCCCACCCCACCTCCCACCCCAGCCATCCTCACCTCCTACCCTCCATGCTACCCTGCCCTTAGCCCTGTCCATGCGTCCCCCATACATGCTGCCTGACGATCCTTCCCCTTTGTCCCCCTGCTATCTCTTCCCACCTCCCCTCTGTCCACTGTCAGTCTGTTCCCTATTTCAATGTCTCTGGTTATATTTTGCTTGCTTGTTTATTTTGTTGACTAGATTCCACTAACAGATGAGATCACATGGTATTTGTCTTTTACCGCCTGTATTATTTCACCTAGCATAATGTTCTCCAGTTCCATCCATGCTGTCACAAAGAGTAGGAGCACCTTCTTTCTTTCTGCTGGGCAGTGTTCCATCATGTAAATGTACTATAGTGTTTCAATCTCCTTGTATACTGATGGGAATTTATGTTGCTTCCAACACTTGGCTACCATAAATTGTGCTGCTATGAACATTGGGGTGCATAGGTTCTTTTGAACTTGTGCTTCAGGATTCTCAGGGTATAATTCCAGCAGTGGAATTGCTGGGTCAGAAGGTAGTGCAGTGGAGATTCAAGAGGGCTGGGCGGGCCCCCACCAGTGCCAGCACTGAAGGGATAATTAAGTGGCCTGTTGGATCCACCTGAGAAGAATGGGGTCTAAACACTAAGCTGGGATCCCCAGACAAGAGCACCAGAGCCCAAAAAGTACACAGATAACAAGTGGCAAAAAGTGACAGTGTTGCTCTCTGCCAGAGACTGATGGCTAAATACTCAAAGAGCCATTTAAAGGGCCAACTCGCTAATTTTCATTTGCAGCCACCTACCCAGGGGTTCCAGCAAAGGCGGAAGAAGAGTTGGCTAGAGGCACCTGAAGAATTTATATGGTTTTTAAAAATGGATTTTATTATTTTATGGAATAAGAATAATAAAGCTTAGGGTTAGAATATGAAAAAATGTACCAGAAAATTGTTGTAGAAGTTACCAGTTGTCAAGGGTTTGGAGGAAGTTTTTCTTAGAAAGTTAGGGAAAGTTTTTCTTGGAAAGAAGAACACATAATCTAACGTTGATTTTGGTGACTAAATCAGAACTTTGTCCTTCCTTCTCGTTCCAGGTACATGGCCATCATCCACCCGCTCCGGCCCCGGCTGTCAGCCACAGCTACCAAGCTGGTCATCTGTGTCATCTGGGTCCTGGCTCTCCTGCTGGCCTTCCCCCAGGGCTACTACTCCACCACGGAGACCATGCCCAACAGAGTGGTGTGCATGATTGAGTGGCCAGATCATCCCAACAAGATGTACGAGAAAGTGTGAGTAGAGATGACTCCCTGGTGCCTTCTTTGCCCTTGCTTGTTTCTTCTTTCTTTCCACATTCTCTATCAGTTAGGATTCAATGTGCCCATAGCTATCGGGGACTGTCTCAAATACTATTTTGGGATTTGAAAGAAAGCTTACAAAAATGAACAAATGAGACCTGGATCCTGTTCTAGTGACCCTTTGGGTGCTCTCCATATTTGTCCTGCCTTTTACCAGTGACTTTGCCGTGCAGCACCTGCGTGTCTTTGCCTGGGAACTTCTTCCTAAGCTACAGAACGCCACTCTTCCCTCTTGCACGGTGTGCTGGAGGGTGGAGGAATTATCCCCTATTCCCCGCAGCTCTCAATGAAGACTGATGAGAGTTAGTGTATGAACACCCCAGCTCACTCGCCCCACAGGGAGGACGTCTCTGAGGTGTGTGCTTTGCACTGTGTCCATGGTTTACTCTTGGGATTAAAGTCCAGTTGTCCTGTGGCAGCCGACTCAGTGATGTACCCTTTGTTGACCACCTCCCTTTCCTGAACCACCACCATCCCACCTCACAACTGTGGTTTCCTTCTCCTCCTAAATAAGTCATTTGCACTTGACTTTTTAATCTCGGGATCTGCCTCTGAGAAAAACCAAATCAAAATGCCTACTTCCAGGATTTTCCAGTGGGAGAAATAAGATATACACATGTAAAATACATGGGAAGGCGAGGCCAGCGTGTTCAGATCTTACAAATTACAGGGTTCCTACAGGGCAGGTCTGCTTACCTTCCAGAGGCCTAATTGATGACAGTCAGGGCTTTTCCAAAGTCATCCTGATGATTTTCTTCAAGAGGCAACATTGAAATGGCCTGTTCTTTATTTTGTTCTGTTCAAGTGAGCATCGACATGACATTTATACTACCATGAGTTTTCTAGACTCAGAGCACTGGGGTAATGTGAGTCTTTTTGAAATTCCTTTATAATTCTCTAATCTTGGGTTTACTGTATGAATTGTAAAAACAATACTGGTGTTAGAATCAGAATATCTCAGTGTTAACAAGATTGCCAGTTACTAGCTATATGCCTGGGCAACAATCGCAGTCTCTCCTCGTTAAACTAGCAGACGATAAAGTCCTACTTCCCATAAGCAATTGTGAAAAGCACACAAGAAAATGCTATAGGAAAGGTAAGATACTGTTGTTGAACCAAATTCATCAGGTTGCCATATAATCACTGTAGGCCTTTAAACTTATCAAATGGTAAAATGAGTCACTATCCCTGTCGGCCCGCAACAATAAAGGTTCCGAAAGCCTGCTGCACACAGTCACCCTGCTACTTCTCTTCAAGGAGCGCGGATGAGGTTTGCCAGAGCCAATGCCTAAAGCTCAATGCCTATAAGCCAATGCTTATAGAAGCAAACAGTGGGATTTAATTGATCAAGCAGCAGGGGAATTAATGCTCAGCCTAGAAGGAAACATTGAAAATTATTCTTTCAAATAAAACGACACACCTTAGCAGGGCCACAGCAAGTAAAATAATAGCTTCACAAGCCATACAGAACTCCTAAACACCTTCGATCAATAAGGTCCCCTCAAAAAAGGGGTAAATACCCTCTGAATGAAAGCTCGTTATATGAACTGTTTCAGAAATGCCATTGACATCATAGAGTATAGTTCAGTTCTTAGTTGTCACGATCTTTTCAAAGTCTGATCACATTTCTACAACCTTGGTTTTAAATACATGCAATCCTTTTATCTTCCAACAAATTCAAAGTTTCACTTGGAAATAAATTTTAATTTTCCTACAGATCTCTGGGGCTCTTGTCCAAAAAATTAGTATTCTACTTTTGACCATTTTACTGTTTTGTGCTTATTAGTGACTAGAAAGCTCTGCAAGACTCAACTCAGCCTGTTGGGCTGTCTTCCTCCTTGCTTTGAGAATTTAGGGTCGCTGCTGCTGCATGCATGGTTAGGTTTCCCATCATTGTTTATTTCACAATTTCCATCCTAAAAAAATGATTCTGGATAGGAGCATTTGATTTACCTATTCAAGTGCTTCATTCACATATAAAATGTTTATGGATGCAGTAGTAGGTTGAAAGAATCCATCTTTAATTCCCAGTCAGGGCACATGCCTGGGTTGCAGGCTGGTTCCCTGCGGGCCAGTTCCCAGCAGGGGATGCACGAAAGGCAACCATACATTGATATTTCTCTCCCTCTCTCCTTCCCCTCTAAAGATAAATAAATAAATAAAATCTTAAAAAAAAAAAAGAATCCATCTTTGCCATCACATTTGGGCTGTGATGCAGACGTAAGTCAAGTGCATAGGATGCTACAGGTAAACATATTTTCTCTATGTCAATACCCTTCATAATCATTATGATATATTTTTAAGCAATTTAAATTTTACCAGCTCTAAACTAAGTACTTAATTATAGTCTCTTCTGTTAAAAAGGATTGACAATTCCACAGTACACGTTAATCATGAATTTGAAACCAGAAAGAAACTTTGTTTTGAGGCAGTATAATGAGTATAAGAACATGGGCTCTATAGTTAACTTCCAACTATATCACTCTCTAGTTGAGTCATAATGGTTATTTAAGCCTGTGAGCCTACTAGAGGTGTCCAGAGAAATAAATAAGACACATGCTTAACCCTGCACCATGCACCTGGTAAGAATGCGGTGAATGTTGACTACAGTTGTTAGCATCATACAGTGACCTGGGTGCATGGGCGGATAACTGGCATTAGACTGGGTGGTAGGCAGATGTTTAGGCCCTATTTGTCTGATGAATCATTTCTGCCAGCTAATTACATAAATAAGTATTATCTGAAAAATCTTAAATTGTTTCATTTTCCCTCTCTGGCTGCATGGCAAACCTCCAACCCTGACTATTCATCATTTAGACTCTTATTAATACGTGAATCAAATTAAGCACTGTTAAAGAAAGGCAACCCAATAAAAGAACAGGCAAAAGTTTTGAATATGCACTTCACAAAAGGAAATATCCAAACAACCAATTAATATATGAGGAGGCACACAACTTCATTCATCACCAGTGAAATGCGAACTAAAACCATGAGATCTTACTGCTCACCTATTAGACAAGCAAATATTGAGAAGCTTGACTAAACTAAGAGCATTTAGAACTTTTGGTGAAGATAAGGAAAAATGAAAACCTTTGCAGACTGCTAGAAGTGTACATTGATAAAACCACACTGAACAACATTTTGTACTATGTAGAAAAAATAGAAGCTATTTTTACCCTATCACCTCCCAGGTTCACTCAGGGGTAATTACCCTAGAAAAACTAATGCATATATACACCCAAATATACCTATCTTACTGTTCATATTATCAGTATTGTTCTTGATGCCCCATACTGGAAATATTCCAAATGTCCATCATCGGTAGGGTAGATATAAAAAAACTGTTCTATGAGCATGTAGTGGAACATGATATAGTTAATAGAATGAACAAAATGCAGCTCTGTGCAATGTGGATGGCTCTTATAAACACAGTGTCAAAACAGGCAAAATGAAAGCATGCCTTTAAGAGTGTGTAAGTAGGCAGTAAAACTGCAAATGCAAAGTCGTCACCATGAACGTGAGGACCATGATTGTCTCTGGTGAGAGAGAAACAGCTGTGACCAGAAAGGGACGCTAAGAAGTGCTTTTGAGGGGATGGCACTGTATTTCTTAAGCTCAGTGGTAGTAGCATGCCTAAACATTGGTAGTAATCACTCTCAACTGACTCAACTAGAGAGTAATGCCTCAGTGGTAGTAATGCCTAAACATTACTTATTATACCAAGTGATTTGATTTATGCATTTTTTTCTGGAATGTATGTTTCATATTATTTAACCTTAAAAAATAAATTCTATTTAAAGAATTTTGCTTTTACAAGCTCCCTAGAAACTGCTTCACTGGGATAACCCCAAATATTTCTCCATAAGAAATTCTCTTCCATGAGGCTTGGCCTGGAATGACATTACTCACAAGTACTTACCTATGAATAAGATGAAGCGTGTATGGGCCCCACCCATTCTCACCCTTACTTGACCTCTGCATTTTGCCTCGCTGACTCCTGTGCTTCAGCCCACTGGGAATTTTTCCACCTGTTCTAAGTAGTACATAGGACAAACACTTTTCCCTGGAGGGACACGACAGACGTTAACCAGAGGATGAGGTCCACACAGTCTCCACAGCCCTCTCCCTTCCTACTCCATTCATAAGCATGCACCTCTGAGCTACAAAATGCTTACATATTCTTGTAAAATTATTTGAAAACACTGTTTTGCATTTAAAGCAATGGATTATAGAATATAGTGAAAATTCATATCATTTGTTTAAGCATATTTCCATGTTTCCATTTTTATAAAAGGTCCTAGCATTTTGACGAATACCCTTCCAGATTTTTATTCCATCTCCAGGGAAATATTGTGCTTAGTTTCTTTTAAAGTGTTTCATATGCGCACAGAGCAACGCTAATATAGATTGTTTCCATCTTTGAAACACAAGACATTGCTGGGCCCTGTTTTGGGTGTTTTTTTTTTAACTTAATACATCTTAGAGATCTTTCCATATCAGTTTGTAAAGAGCTTCTTTATTCTTTATTTCAGCTACACAGTACTTCATGTTATAAACATAAAAAAACAGTTATTTTGGGTGGACTTTGGTTTGTCCCCAACCTTTTGCTACCACAGAGTGCTGCCATGAATCATTGTAGCATAAAATGCCCCTACAATGGAATTCCTGAGTCAAACATACACCATTTTAATTTTAATATTTTTCTTTCATATGGGATTGTACTAATTCTCATTCCCACCAGCAATGTATGAGGGTCAATATTTCTCTACAGCCTCACCAACAGAGTATATTGTCAAGTTTTTTAGATTTGGGCCTGTTATCATTAAAATGTGCATTTCTCTTATTAGGAGTGAGTTTGAACATTTTTTCATATATAAGAAACACTTGTATGTACATATTATAATCCACTTATTTCATTTACCATATCATAAACA